GGATGCAAACGAAAATCTCATTTAATGGATTAGATGCTTAATAACGTTTCTATCGTCAAGTATTTCTTCGTTGTGTGAACAACGTTCAAATCGATGTTATATAAAAGGGAAAGACGATGTAGGAAGACGATGTATCTATTTTATCGAAAAAAGTCTTTTGTAGTTTCGTTTTATCCTTCTCATCAAAGATTCTTTCTAAATTTAATCTTTAATCGGAATGTATAGATCGAATTTTTATTAGAAATAAATTAATAAGAAATAAAATTGTATCGTACATATCGTCTTTTTTTTTTTGATAAATAATTGTATTAATGAGTCGAATTAATTATTTTACTAGACATTACGCGAAGTTACACAACTCGAACAGGTTCTCGATATTTATAGCGAACGTGAAATATGCGGTATTTTGTTGGCTCGGTTATATGCCGCAGTGTTGTTTGCTGCCACACATTGCATGAAAACCAGAATATACTGACCCGAATATTACTCACTTACTTCTAATTACTGACATATACTACAGAGTACTTAGTACACAGCCCATTGAAAAAAAAAATATATGTATATATATATATATATAGTCAATTTAGTCTAGAAGTCTATTACTAACAAAATTGTAGAGTGAATCAGTGAATCAAACATACATTTACGGAATTAAAAATAAGAGAAGATTTAACATATAGTACGATTCAATAACATATATCTCTTTTTTTTTTTTGTATAAAACATCCTTTACATTCTTGGTTTTGTCTTATAGATTTCCTCGATTAATTCTATCTTGCTTTTCTCCCCATTGATGTGTGTAGGTTAGTGCATACGAAATATTGCTTCTATGAAGTTTGAATTTCAGGAATACAGCAAAGAGAACAACATTTTTATGTACACTAACCTCAGCTTCTCTTACTATATGTTTTCGAGCATTATTTTCTGTTGCTTTTTGATATGATTTATTTTCACATCATCAGATAGTCGAAATCGAGCCGCGTAATTATTAATTTCAAGCTCTGTAATTTCACAGCGCCGTGGAATCCATAGATCCATTCGAGATATCGATTTTCTAAATCTGGCGATTCTATTTCAGCTCTATTATGCTTTGTACCTCGATTATTAGCGGCCACTGGTTAATGGTAAATAAAACCCTCGAACTTTTCGTGTCTTTGAAATGTGTGCTTTTCGTTGCAGTCGATCGCCTGAACGGGCGAATGCAATTCTGCGAATTGCCACTGACGTGCATTCCTACCGTAGGGTTAAGCTCGTGACACGGTATGAAGCTAAACCGGAAGTAAGAAGGAAAAAACCGACGGAAAACATGTCGCCGAATCACCTGATAGTCGGTGAGTTTCACGAAATAAAATGTTTCTATTTCTACAGTTTCTTTTATCGGTCGAACAAAATCCGAAATTGTTCGTGTATACGAATTTATTTCTGGTGTTCTTGCAAAAAAAAACTCAGGCACGTTATATAAATACATATATATATATATATAAGCACAGAAACATTGAAAAACCCGAGGAAAGATGC